CTCAAAAAAGTCTATGAAAGGTACCAGGGGCATCTCATGGGGCCCCTTAATGACCACGGGCCCTCGGGCAGTGTCTGAATGGTAAGTCCTGGTAGGTAGATGGGTAAGGTGAATACCAGGGGCGGACTGACTATTTGGAAACTTGGTCACTGCCCGAGGGCCCGGGGTCAGTAGGAGGCCTCATGAGATGCCCCTGGTACTTTTTATAGGCTTTATTGAGTTTGGGCAAGGACACAGGGGCCCCATGATCCCCTATTGCCCGGGGGCCCCATGAGTTGTCAGTCCACCCCTGGTGAATACATATGAGAGGTGTAAGCAGTGCCCGAGTGCTGGAATGGTCAGTCCACCCCAAATACACATTAAAACATCTAATTATTGCCCTCTGCCTGTTGTTTTTTTACACCTTTTACATGTTTATATATGAGCAGCAGGGGCGGACTGACAACTCATGGGGCCCCCGGGCAATAGGGGATCATGGGGCCCCTGTGTCCTTGCCCAAACTAAAAAAAGCCTATGAAAAAGGTACCAGGGGCATCTCATGGGGCCCCCTACTGACCCTGGGCCCTCAGGCAGTGCCCGAGTTTATAAATGGTCAGTCCACCCCTGCTCCCCAGCATGTTAGTCTAGGAGTCCATGCACACATAGGCTGTAATCAACGTTTTTTGGTAGAAACCCCCCCAAATCTAATGGTTTTTAGATGTGTTTTTTAGCTGGCAAAATGTGGTAAAATGAGGTAAAATGCAGCAAATCGACATTTGTGGAGTTTTTTGACCCCAAAAAAATTTTTTTGGTTAAAAAACGCCGCCGGTGGCGGCACAACACCCCTAAACGCGAATCCAAAAATGCTAAAAGAAAAACGTTTTTAACGTGACTTTACACAGCTAATGTTACCAGCGTTATCAAAACATCAAGTTTCCATGAGGGCTTAAAGTCAACCCACTTACCCTGAGCCCAGGTTGTCATGGGACCCCTACCCGCACCCGGTCTCCTTGCTTCCTTAGGAATTTTTCTCCATCGGTATAATGGCCATGGAATGTAATAAAAAATATAGTGCCTTATCCTTTTTAAAACATAATTTATTAACCCCTTGGTGCCGGCGCCTCCCAGCCCTTTAAGGGTTTCAGAAGCCGAGAGGCGGGGCAGGGTTTTAGGGTCATGTGACCGCCGTGATTCGCTGTCACATGATCGGGAAAGGTCCTGATCGAAAGAGGAGATCGGGACCTTTCCGTGAGTACCGGACATGTGTGCTGGGAGCGCGCTCTCTGCACATGTTTTTCTTAATTGCACACAAATGTGCGGCCGCTCGGCATCTAGGTCCAGACGCCGGGAGGTCACACATTTGTGTGCGGCCGGTGTGAAGTGCTTAAGTATGGTAGTGCACTCACATGTATTACAAGCAGGGGCGGACTGACAACTCATGGGGCCCCTGGGCAATAGGGGATCATGGGGCCCCTGTGTCCTTTCCCAAACTCAAAAAAGCCTATGAAAAAGTTACCAGGGGCATCTCATGGGGCCCCCTACTGACCCCAGGCCCTCGGGCAGTGCCTAAGTTTCCAAATGGTCAGTCCACCCCTGATTACAAGTTAAAACTGCATTGAAATGTAAAAATTTGAATCCACAGTAAAGTTTTCCACTCTTGTTAAATACTTGCTGTATGTTGCTTTAAGCGTCGTGACGTCAGAGCCCCTCCCCTACGCGTTACGCCACCGGGTCACGTGGCTTCATCAGTGGGAATTATATTTCAATCAGGATAAGGCACTATATTTTTTATTACATTCCATGGCCATTATACCTATGGAGAAAAATTCCTAAGGAAGCAAGGAGACCCCCTAGTGGGTAGAGGGATACTCCCGTCCACCTATCCAACTCCAGGAAAACCCATAAGGAAGCAAGGAGACCCCCTGCTTGAAAGAGGGAACACTCCGTTTATCCATCCATCCCAGGGAAAGAGGGATCATCCCATCCATTTACCACTTAGCCCCATTAAAGGGACATAAGTTTTTTATGACCTCGCTTAACAGCTTGGTCATATACACCAAGTGAGAGCACAACCGGTCCAGGTGTACAATTTTTCTTATGATTGGTGAACTGCACAGTTGATAATTTTGTATCGCAGCGCCGGAAGACGTGTCAAAGTCAAGGATTTAATAAGGACATGTTTATAGCAATAAAATAATTGCAGAGATATTGTTATGAACATTTGTGAAGCTGGATTGTTATTTATTTACAGTTTTTTTTTGTTTGTTTTTTTGCAATTGGTATTGGAGCGCGACACTATTTATTTTCATTTTCTATGGCACAATGTTATGAGTTTGTGTAGAGTGTAAGCGAACCACTAATTTTCACTTATTTATTTACACCACTTTATGATAATTTTCATTTTATTTTATTATTGATGATATCACATTGGTATTATTTTAAATAGTGTAATATACACCATAGTAGTTCACAAGACCCCACATTTCAGTATTTTAGTAAATATAAACTGCTGAACACCTTTTCTCATCAGCAGTTACAGCAGTCTTGTGACTTCTCTGTGTTCAGCTGAGCACTGGTTAAACTTGGAGGAGTTTTCATTCTGCTCTAGGAGGATGCAGAACCCCTGACCTCTGTCTGGACAGCGCTGATTGGCCCTGTGCTGATCGCATGCACTCTCCCAAGAAAACAAAAACCTCTCTAGCAATACACACCAAACTGAGCAAGTGTAGAGTGACTCCATTATTATATTATTATACAGGACTTCTATAGCGCCAACAGTTTGCTCAGCGCTTTACATTATAATGGGAGACAATACAGTAACAATACAAGAGGGATTAGAGGGCCCTGCTCCTTGGAGCTTACATAAATATGTCTTATCAGGAGATAAGGGGGGGGGGGGGGCACTGGAAGAAGGGGAGGATCAGAGAAGACAGGATCAAACATCCTTTTTACACAATGCAGAGAATTAACCCCTTAGGTTCTACAGTGAGTATAACAAGCATGCTTTACTGCATCTACAGACTGATTGTACTGTTGTGGGTTTAGTAACACTTTAAGTGCTTGGGTGAAACTTTATTTTTTTACACCTTTTTTTCAACAAACTTTATTTTTTTTCATCACATATAGGGCTAAAAGACCCCTGTGTGGTACTTTTTTTGGTGACAGGTTCTCTTTAATGAGACATCAGGGGTCATTTGGACCCCTGATGTCACACCTGCCCTCTAATGGAAGCTCCAGTAGAAGCAGTCATTTTGATTTGCAGTTGCCATGGAGCTGCACATGTAATCAGTTATGACATCAGCACATGTAATCAGTTATGACATCAGCACATGTAATCAGTTATGACATCAGCCTTTAATACCCACATTGTCCTTCAGGGAGCCAACAAAAAACCAACAGGGTCTTACAGAAAGGACCTACCAAGATGGGGCAAAAAATAACCCCTATTTTACAGAAAGGGTGTACCAAGATGGCAGTGGAAAGTGTGCAAATTTACAGGAATGGTATATCAAGAAGGTGATCGGAATAACCCTGTTTTACAGGCAGAGTGTACCAACGTAGCGGTAAAATACACACGTTTAATGGGAACGGTGTTCCATAGATGGTGAAAGACTACCCCCATTTTACAAGATGGGGTCAGAATACCCCGTTTTACAGGAGATTGTTCCAAGATGGCAGCGAAAACACATAAGCCCCCCAACTGCAATGGTGTACCAAGATGGAGGTGGAATACCCCTGTTTTTCAGTGGGTGTTTCTAGGGTTGCCACCTTATCCCTTTAAGACCGAACACATAATAATGACAAAGGTTCTGGGGCTGATTAAAGTGGTAGTTAAACTCACTCAGTGCCTCATCTGCATTAAATTAGCCTCAGAACCTGTGTAATTAATATGTGTTTGGCTTTAAGGGGATGAGGTGGCAACCCTGGGTGTTCCAAGATGAAGGCAGAATGACACCGTTTTACAGAAAGGGTGCACCAAGAAGGTGGTAGAATACCTCCATATTACATGAAAGGTGTTCCAAGATGGCAGCAAAAGTACACATGCCCTCAAGTGCAATAAAGTCTCAAGATGGAAGCAGAATACCTCTGTTTTACAGGAAGGGTGTTCCAAGATGACAGCGGAACGGCCCCGTTTTACAGGAAGGTGTACCAGAATGGCTGTAGAATACCTCCGTTTTACAAGAAGGGTGTTCCCAGATGGTAGCAAAAGCACACATGCCCCAACTGCAATGCTGTCCCAAGATGGCGGTGAAATAGCCCTGTTTTACAGGAAGAGCGTACCAACATGGTGGCCAAATACATACATTTTATGGGAAGGGTGTTCTAAGATGGCGGCAGACTAACCCTATTTTACAGGATGGGTGTTTGAAGATGGCGGTGAAAACACACAGGATTAAGTGCAAAGGTGTAAGAAGATGGTGGCGTAATACCTTTGTTTTACAGGAAGCGTGTGCCAAGATGGTGATGGAAAAACTATGTTTTACAAGAAGGGTGTACCAAGATAGCAGTTGGAATACTTGTTTTAAATGGTGTACCAAGATGGCAATGGAATAGTTTTACAGGAAGGGTGTACCAAGATGGTGGTGAAACACCTGTTTTACAGGAAGAGTGTACCAAGATGGCAGCAGAATATCCCGTTTCACAGGAAGTGTGTACCAAGATGGCCACAGAATACCTGGTTCACATGAAAGGTGTACCAAGATGGCGACAAAAATACCTTTCACAGGGCGTACCAAGATGGCCACAGACGTTTCACAGGAAAGGCGCAGCAAGATGGTGGCAAAATACCTCCGCTTACAGCAAGGGTGTACCGAGATGGTGGCAGAATAACTGTTTTATAGGAAGGGTATACCAAGATGACCACAGACTGTTTTAAAGGAAGGGTGTTTCAAGATGGCGGCGGAATACACACTGGGCTGTACGTAGGTGAACCAAGATGGCAACCGGCGACGCTTCTGTTATTGCGCGCACACGTAACGTCGGTCAGGTGACTAGCGCTCAGTTAGTCAGGGAGAAGGGACGCCGCCATCATGTACCGGACGCCGATGCGGCGCGGCTTTTCCCCGGACTCCCCCAAAGACTTGTATCGGAAATCCCCCGACTCTCCCCCTCACAATGGCCGGGCCCGCCGATCCTGGTCCCGGGGCCGCTCCCCCGATAGGCAGCACTCTCCGTCTAGGAGAGGCCGATCTCCTGCCAGACGGCGATCCCGATCACGGGACAGATCCCGGTCCAGGCCCAGCACCTCCCGCCGATCCAAATCTAGAAACCGCTCAAAATCCCGGCCCCGTAAGCGCCTTTCCATCTCGCCCTACTCCAAGCGCCCAGGGGAGGGCTATTCATACGAGGGGCGTGACCAGGTGAGAACCCCGCCCATGCATAGCCATGAAACCCCGCCCATTTCTGTCCAAACCTGATTTGTGTGCAGCTCTGTCAGTGACTCCTCCCCTTAGTATTGCATGCTCCTCCCACAGAGGTCGCATGACTCTCCCTCTGCCGCCATGTGTTGTCCAGTTACTCTCTATACTCCAGTAATCATCTTCTTTTCCTCCGCAGCGACGCTACTCACCCAGCTACCGGGACCGGTCACCGCGAGGGTCCCGCTCCCCGGACCGCCGAAACAGGGACAGGTACTGGCTCCACCCACACGTCATAGCTCCTCCCAAATGCAGCCAGCCCTATAATTCTAGAGAGGGCTCAGCTCCCCCCCCCCCCCCCGCGGAGCGTGCCAGCAGGGCGCCCCTAGAGAATAAAATAGCGGTAGTTCCAATTTTTTATGTCACATGATATTATCACAAAGGTCTAGGAAAAGCGACATTTTTGTAAAAAAAAATACACTTATGTTAATTTTAGGGCACAAAAATCAACAGATTATCCAATGTTTTTGTAAAATATAAAAGACGAGGTTGCATCGAGTAAATAGATATCCAACATGTCAAACCTTAAAGTTGTGCACGCTCGTGAAATGGCGACAAACGTCAGTCCTCTATATTATCTATAGGTGACGCTTTTAACCCCTCGCCTACAGGGCACTTTTACCCCCTTCCTGCCCAGGCCAATTTTCAGCTTTCAGCGCTATCACACTTTGAATGACAATTGCGCGGTCATGCAACACTGCACCCATATGAAATTTTTATCACTTTTTTTGAGACAGAGCTTTATTTTGGTGGTATTTAATCACCTCTGATTAAATACCACCTGATATTTTTTGCTAAACAAACCAAAAAATTTTGAAAAAAAACCCCACTTTTTTTTCTTAGTTTTTGTTATAAAATTTTGTAAATAAGTGATTTTTCTCCTTCACTGATGTGCGCTTTTGAGGCTGCAATGAGGTATTGATAAGCTGCTCTGATAGACACTGATAGGTGGCACTAATGAGGAGGCACTGGTAGGTGGCACTGATGGGCATTGACAGACATCACTGATGGGTACTGAAAGGCAGAACTCATATATGGCACTGATTTGGCAGCACTGACTGGCACTGATTGGCAGCACTGACTGGCATTGATAGGTGGCACTGACTGGCATTGATAGGTGGCACTGACTGGCATTGATAGGTAACACTGAAAGGCAGCTCAGATGGGCACTGATATGTGGCATTGATGTGCACTGGTAGGCACTGATATGTGGCACTGATAGGTGGCATTGATGGACACTGACAGGTGGCACTGCTGGGGCTACACAGATCATCAGGGCACACTGATGATCAGTGTAGATGTCCCCTCTGAGTAAAGCTGATTACCGGCTCTCCTCTCCTCTGTCAGTGTGACAGCTCATAAGGAGAGAAATGCCAGTAACCGGCATTTCCCTATTTACATGCGATCAGCTGTGATTGGACACAGCTGATCACATGACCGAGCCAACATCTTCTGCTCTTTCCGTTGATCGGTGATCCGCTGTGTCCAAGAGAACCACCTTGTGCCCGTCATTACCTTATATGGCGGGCAGGAGGCGGTTAAAGCCCCTTATAGGTCATCCGTTTACTGTTATGGAGGAGGTATGGTGCTAGAATTATCGCGCTCATTCTGGCGTGCGTGGTGATAAGGTGTATCGCAATCAACGTTTTCATGTGTAGGCGCCCCAGCATGTTTTTATGTTTGCATGCATACGTATGTGGGGGCGGGGAGGGGGGGGCTTGAAAAATTTTGCAGGGGTTAAATGCTTGGGTTTAACTTCCATTTAAAAAAAAAAAATATTTTTTCCTTTTTTTTTTTTTTTTATCACGTAGGTGATAAAAAGTCTCCTATGTGATGATTTTGTGGTGACAGGTTCTCTTTTTTGGAGACGTCCGGGGTCTAAAAGACCTCAGATGTCTCCCCTGTGCGTCACTGAATGTAATGCAGTGCACATCACACCGCATTACATTCTTTCCCGGCCTCAATGACCGGGAATCTGTCAACGGGGACCCAGATGCGACGTTACATCACTTCCGGGTCAGGACAAGAAGGGGAGGGGAGTGGATGTGTCCACTCTCCTCCCTCCTCTATACTACATCCCGTGGCACCCACTGAATCAGTCCCGGGCCCACAGACGGGCAAGTGGAGTTCAGGACATAGCAGGCAGGGGGGAGAGGCTGACACTGTAGGCTGTGTGGAAGCAATCGGGCGTCAGCGCTGCCGCCCGAATGCTTCCACCTGAAAGGTGAGCCCTGCTGCTTGCCCTCAGCAGGGCTAAAGGCAAAAAATACCTACCTGCCCGACGCCCAGAACTACATGTCCCGAGTGTCGGGCGATATGAATTGCACATGCGTGCTGCATCCACGTTCCGTTTTTGGTGAAGAGGGGTGCCCTGATCCTCGTTAGTCTTCAACACCTTCTCATCCATCCTGGCAGGCCTTGTGCCCTCGGTACACTTGTGCAGATGATAGCGAAGCTTCTCCATAAGCTTTCCTCTTTCCAAAGTTTCTGATTCACATATGTTCAATTTCACACAGATTTCTATCGCGAGCCACTGTTCCAAACCCTCTTGCATTTTTCTCAATATGAGGCACTTGAACCGGTTGTCACAAAAATGTGTCGACTCAACTCTGACAGGGCTGAAATGCAACTGATCGGTGTTCTGATGTATACCTGGCACCCAGTGGTGTATTTAGGTTTTGTGCTGCCCTAGGCAACAAAAAGATTGGCCATCCCAACCTCCCCTGCGGAGAGAGCCTGATACCAACCAGCACCCCCCACCGTGGAGAGAGCATAACACTGACCAACAACCCCCCGAAGGAGAGAGCCTGACACCAATTAACAACCCCCCCAAGCGCTGAGAGAGCATAACACTGTCCAACAACCCCCCAAAGGAGAGAGCCTGACACCAATTAACAACCCCCCCAAGCGCTGAGAGAGCATAACACTGTCCAACAACCCCCCGAAGATGAGAGCCTGACACCGACCAACAACCTCCCCCCAAGCGCGGAGAGAGCATAACACTGACCAACAACCCCCCAAAGGAGAGAGCCTGACACCAACCAACAACCTCCCACCAAGCGCGGAGAGAGCATAACACTGACCAACAACCCCCCAAAGGAGAGAGCCTGACACCAACCAACAACCCCCCCAAGCGTGGAGAGAGCATAACACTGACCAACAACCCCCCGAAGGAGAGAGCTCAACCCCCCAAAGGAGAGAGCCTGACATCAACCAACAACCTCCCCCCAAGCGCAGAGAGAGCATAACACTGACCAACAACCCCCCAAAGGAGAGAGCCTGACGCCAACCAACAATCCCCCACAAGCGCGGAGAGAGCATAACACTGACCAACAACCCCCCAAAGGAGAGAGCCTGACACCAACCAACACCCTCCCCTCCAAGTGCGAAGAGAGCATAACACCAACCAGCAACCCACCCCCCAAAGGGGAGAACCTGACACCACCCAACACCACCTCCCTCCTCCTGGGCTGATGAGAGAGCCTTCCACTACCACTGCCTCCACCATACACCCGCCGCAACCCCCCGACAAGAGCGAGAACGGAAAGTCACAGACACTCACCTTCACAGCTCTGGACATCCCTGGGAACAAGAATCGGGTTCTGCATACGCCGTCAAGCTGCTCGCAGCCTTTCTCGAACCCCACTTGGTCCCCATGCGGCATGTGTTCTTTCTTCTGGGGGGCAGCGCTGCCCCCTTGAAAAAAATGCTGCTCTAGGCAAATGCCTTGTTTGCCTTGTGGTAAATACGCCCCTGCTGGCACCCCACCCCAAGTGACTGTCCAGCTTCTCCCTTCACAGAGCCCTTCTCAAGCGTAGGAAGTTCATTCTCATTATGTTCTGGACACACCTTTTATTTTGCAACTTACAACTCCAGGGATGATATATTTTGCTAGGCACAATGCAAGTATGCAAATCTTTCCTAATCGGCCTCTCCGAAAACTAAATTGCTTCTGAAACCCAAGCTACTACATTGAAGAAGGGGGCGCTTGCTTGACACAGCCGCCATTCACAGGATGCCTTACATATTTTTCCCAGTAAATGCAAAGTGTTTTCTGATTGGATGAGGTGGAGATCCTAACATCATCATCTCATCTAATCAGAGAATGCTTTGCATTCATAAAGAAGAACACAAGGCATTGTTTGAACGGCTTCCAAGCCGAGTAAGCGATTTCTTGTGGTTATTTACGCAGAAGTGCAGCCGCTTGGCATAGGGCTTTGGCTTCTGCAGTGATTTACAGCTTCCAGGTAGGCTGATTAGGTAAGAGATTTGCATACTTACATTGTGCCAAGCAAAATATATAATCGCTGGAGGATGCAAAATATATACCATCTGTGACAGGTGTCACTTTGGGTGGGGGGGCTCATGGAACCCGGCTCTCTTTGGAGAGGTGGGGAGACCCCTGTCTCCGCTCCCCATATCCCTCTTATGTGTAAGTCACCCTGTGCCTGTTAGGGGTACAGGGTGGAATGTCCTAATATTGGGGTGGGGGGTTGTTGATTGTTTAATGCCATATGGTTGCATCCCATTGTTCTATTGTGTGTCTTGCTTGGGAGCATACTATTATGGGATGTATGTGTTTATGGGTATTGGCTTGGTGGGGGGTGTCTTCAGCAGCCCTCCCTCCTCATGGAACTGTCTGTTGGTGTGTCTCTTGTTACTAAATGTAGAATCCCCCGCCCTGTGTCATTATGCAGGGAGGAGGGACTGCCCCCTGGGTGTGTATGTCTTGTATCTGTGTTAAAATAAAGTAGTCTACCTCCTGGTTTACTTCGACTGGTGTCGTCTAGTCTTGTATGGTCAGCGGTGGTGCCTGTTGTCGGTGTTTGGACAGGGAAGCGGTAGTCCCCAAGTGCAGTCTGGGGTCGGTTCCATTACACCATCCCAGGAGCAAGCCACATTCTGTGGTTGCTTATGCAGAAGGGCAGTCGCTTGGCACAACATCCTTCACTATAGTAGTTCTCCTTCTATAGTGATTTACAGCTTCCAGAGAGGCTAATTAGGTAAGAGATTTGCATACTGTGCCAAGCTGGCCCAGTACTTTAATGTGGATGGGAGGCACGGCCAGGCTCAGCAATGTAAATGTATGTTTCCTTGCACGCCCCTCCTGTGTGGGCACAGCGGATTACGGCTCCCAGTTCCCTGCCGCTCAATCGCCGTGCGATCACATCATCACAATGTCAACAAAGATGCTAGGAATGAATTTCATAACAGCAGTGATTCCTGTAGAGTGATGCTGTGATTGGCTCACAGCTATCACATGGTACTTGGGTAAATCACAGCACCCGACACTATGTGATTCTTCGTTGTAGACAGCCACATTATGTCAACAATAAGCCCAACTGTCATGAATGTAACCCATTTGTAACTGAACCGGACCTCGACTCTAGGGTATTTCCGTTAGATTCCAGCTTCCCTGTCCGGACACAGATCCACGGACACCACCGCTGACCACACAAGACTAGAGGAGACCAGTCTTGAAATAACTCAGGAGATAGACTGCTTTATTTTAACACAGACACAAGATATATACATTCAAGGGAACAACCCATCTCCCTGCATATGGACACAGGGCAGGGCAAACCAAATCTAGCAACCAGAGACACATACCGGCAGACACACCCCACCAAGCCAATACACAAACACATATATATCCCATAATAATATGCTCCCAAGCAAGACACACAGTAGAACAATGGGATGCACCACATGGCAGTAAACTATGAGCAACCCCCACACCCCCCACCTATGCATGTCTACACAATATCAGGACATTTCACCCTGTACCCTAACAGGCACAGGGTGACTTACACATAGGAGGGATATGGGGAGCTGAGACAGGGGTCTCCCCACCCCTCCAAAGTGAGCTGCGTTCCATTGGCCCCCCCACCCAAAGTCACTCCAGTCACACCATTCTTGACAGATCAAACAATTGCTTATCGTAACAGCAGTCACATTGTGAAAAAAGAAAACAAAAATCCATGATCACCCCCTAGAGCAGGGGTCCTCAAACTTTTTAAACGGGGCCAGTTCACTGTCCCTCAGACCGTTGGAGGGCCGCACTATAGTTTAAAAAAAAAACTATGAACAAATGCGGACATAGTACAGGAGATGACCAGAGACTGCGGACATAATACAGGAGATGACCAGAGACTGCGGACACAGTACAGGAGATGACCAGAGACTGCGGACACGGTACAGGAGATGACCAGAGACTGCGGACACGGTACAGGAGATGACCAGAGACTGCGGATACGGTACAGGAGATGACCAGAGACTACAGTCCAGGAGATGACCAGAGACTGCGGACACGCTACAGGGGATGACCAGAGACTGCGGACACGGTACAGGGGATGACCAGAGACTGCGGACACGGTACAGGGGATGACCAGAGACTGCGGACACGGTACAGGGGATGACCAGAGACTGCGGACACGGTACAGGGGATGACCAGAGACTGCGGACACGGTACAGGGGATGACCAGAGACTGCGGACACGGTACAGGGATGACCAGAGACTGCGGACACGGTACAGGGGATGACCAGAGACTGCGGACACGGTACAGGGGATGACCAGAGACTGCGGACACGGTACAGGGGATGACCAGAGACTGCGGACACGGTACAGGGGATGACCAGAGACTGCGGACACGGTACAGGGGATGACCAGAGACTGCGGACACGGTACAGGGGATGACCAGAGATTTGGGGACATACAACGGCGGCGGGAATACTGGGCCGGCCGCTCCATAAGACACACAGACATTTCCCCCCCAGTGTGTCTTATGGAGCAAAATATACGGTAAATGCAGGACACCTTGTTGGGTCAGATCTGTGTACAATGTAAAGAGAGAGAGGAGGGGGAGATAGACAGAGAGGAGGCGGGGAGGAGAAGGAGCACAGAGGGACAGGAGGAGCGCAGAAGAATAGGTGAGGGGCAGTGGGACAGGAGGAGCGCAGAGGGATAGGTGGGGGGCAGCGCGACGGGGCATGGGACAGGATCGGGGAAGATGGACAGGAGAGGCGCAGAAGGATAGGTGAGGGGCAGTGGGACAGGAGGAGCGCAGAGGGATAGGTGGGGGGCAGCGTGATGGGACAGGATCGGGGCAGCTGGACAGGAGGAATGCAGAGGGACAGGTGAGGGGCAGATGGACAGGGAGAGCACAGAGGGACAGGTGAGGGGCAGATGGACAGGAGGAGCACAGAGGGACAGGTGAGGGGCAGATGTACAGGGAGAGCACAGAGGGACAGGTGAGGGGCAGATGGACAGGAGGAGCACAGAGGGAAAGGTGAGGGGCAGATGGACAGGGAGAGCACAGAGGGACAGGTGGGGACAGATGAGTGGTAGTGGGACAATGTGGGGGACAGGAGGGGGAAGTGGAACAGGTATGGGGCAGGGTGACGTGGGGGCAGTGGGACGGGGGAGGGAAGTAGAACAGGTGGGGGGCAGTGTATCGGGACAGTGAGACAGGACCGAGGGAGCACCAGTCCTCCAAGCACTTACCTGTCCAGCAGCGGCTCCTCCAGATGGTGTCAGGATCATTCCAGGACGAGTGCCTGTGTCCCTTCCCCCCTCAATTTCCGGCGGCGGCTGCAAAGGAGTGGGCCGGCTCCGCCCCCCTGACCTCGTCCTCTTCTGCTTCCTCCTTCTGGCCTTCACCTGGATACGGGCACGCTGACAGCGGGCCCCGCCCCTCACACGCTCCGAGCTCACTCCGGGGATCCGCCCATCACTCCGCTCTCCTCTGCAGCCGATCCCTCAGCCATGGTTGCCCTGCCCCTGTATCTTTCCCACGGAAGTGTCCCTTCCGTACGAAAAGGGGGGGGGGCGGCACTGCCGCCGTGCCGCCCCCCTGAAAAGTGCCGCCCTAGGCAAATACGCCCCTGGTCCCTTGCCGCGCGGCAGATACGCCCCTACCCAGCGGGCCGGATAAATGTCCTCGGCAAGCCGCATGTGGGCCGTAGTTTGAGGACCCCTGCCCTAGAGAGTAATAGTGTCAGTAAGGCAACACTGAACTACTTTGATGAAAATTTGAAAAAAAAAAATAGTAGAAGAGAAATGTGTAAAAATGTTGAATAACAAATGACTTCCTTTTTTTTTTTTTTTTTTTTTTTACATACTATCCCTAGTCAGTATCCCGGATCACTGCCACACCAGTACTCTGCTGGTGACCGTATGTGTAAAAAAAAAAAAAAATGAATTTTTTTCATTTTCCCAAAAATTACAACCTCAAAAAACTAACAATGCCTCTTGAAAAATACTGCAGACTGTGTTCTTTCCAAAAAGGGGTCATTTGGGGGAGCCTCAAGAAATGAGATCGGCCGTCAGTTCATTAGAATTGATTATTTTTTCAAATATACCATAGCATAGTTTGTAAACTTTTCTTTCTCTTTACCTTTCACACAGACTAAATATTATACACTGATTTGGGCTTTTCTTACCAAAACATGGTAAAATACATTTTGGCCTAAATAAATTATATATTAGCAAACTTTTCAAACAGAAACTAAGAAAAACTTTTTTTTTTTTTCCAAAAAAAAGTTTTTTTTATATAATAAAAAAAAACAAAATAAAAACAGTGATGATTAAATGCCACCAAAAGAAAGCTTTATTTGTGTGAAAAAGAATTGTAGAAATTTAGTTTGGGTACAGTGTTGCACGACCACGCAATTTCCAGTTAGTATAACGCAGTGCTGAATAGCAATAAAATGGTCTGGTCATGAAGGGGGGGGGGTAAAACCTGGAGACTAGGTACAATAACCAGATAAATATAAAAAAATAAGTATTTAAAAAAAAATGCTCCATAGCAACAAAAATCAATTCATGAGCCATGGCCCTGCAAAGGGCCTTTTATTGTATAAACTATTTAGTGGAGCTTTATGTATGGCCTTGTGTAGGACTTTTTGCTCTTGGACACAATTTTGTGTTTACACCAATATATCCTTTTTTAATGTAATAAAACAGCCCAGAATCTCTGCCAGTAAATGTAAAGAGTGTGTAAGAACAGCAATTGAAGAGAAACCATTCCCAAGTCCCTCACTGGAGGATTCAGCATATAACTACACCCCTAAGGAGGCATTGCTCCTCCCCTTGTGGGATGTACCCTTCTGTGCAGGAAGCAGTCACATGATCGAGTTCTTGTAGCTCAAGGATGATAATAACCCCTATGTGGAGGATGGAGCGAGGGGTCCTTCTAAGGGTGTGGGCATCTCTGTAAGCCCAGGTTTTTCTCTATTCTATCCAGAAATGGTTCTTTGTGCTCGCAGAAAATCTGAATTTTACTCTGATTTGGCAGAATTGGCCCCGCCCTGAAGGGGGGGGTGTTTCCTGTGAGTTTGTACCAATAGAATGTGCACTAGACATAACTTGAGGTTGGTTATGGACAGATGTGACCATTACTCCTTGGTGTTTTAGGTCTCGAGGGCGCTCTAGCCCGCGCCGTACAGAGGAGCCTCTGCCCATGCCCAAAAAGTCCATTTTAAAGAAGCGCCCTGATGTGGAAACCACCAGCCAGGACAAGGCTCCTCAGGTAAGCAGACCTGTTTTCTATATGTAAAGGAGTGGTATATATATATATATATATATATATATATATTTATTTATTTATACACACAGACACACACATACAGTGTATATAAAAAGTCTACACCCCTGTTAAAGTGTCAGGTTTTTGTGATGTAAAAAAATGAGACACAGATAAATCATTTCAGAACTTTTTCCACCTTTAATGTGACCTATAAACTGTAAAACTCAATTGAAAAACAAACTAAAATATTTTAGGGGGGGATGTAAACATAAAAAACTAACATAATATGGTTGCGGTTGCATAAGTGTGCACACCTTCTTATAACTGGGGATGTAACTGTGTTAAGAATTAAACAATCATATTCAAAATCATGTTAAATACGAGTCAGTACACACCTGCCATCATTTAAAGTTCCTCTGATTAACCCCAAATAAAGTTCAGCTGTTCTAGTAGGTCTTTCCTGACATTTTCTTAGTCGCATCCTACAGCAAAAGCCATGGTCCGCAGAGAGCTTCCAAAGCATCAGAGGGATCTCTTTGTTAAAAGGTATCAGTCAGGAGAAGGGTACAAAAGAATTTCCAAGACATTAGATATACCATGGAACATGGTGAAATCATCAAGTGGAGAAAATATGGCGCAACAGTGACATCACCAAGAACTGGACGTCCCTCCAAAATTGATGAAAATACGAGAAGAAAACTGGTCTGGGAGGCTGCCAAGAGGCCTACAGCAACATGAAAGGAGCTGCAGGAATATCTGGCAAATACTGGCTGTGTGGTCCATGTGACAACAATCTCCCGTATTCTTCCTATGTCTGGGCTATGGGGTAGAGTGGCAAGACGGAAGCCTTTTCCTACGAAGAAAAATATCCAAGCCCGGCTAAATTTTGCAAAAACACATCTGATGTCTCCCAAAAACAAAGCTGAACTTTTTGGCCATAATTCCGAAAGATATGTTTGGCGCAAAAGCATCACTGCACATCACCAAAAGAACACCATACCCACAGTGAAGCATGGTGGTGGTGGCAGCATCATGCTTTGGGGTTGTTCTTCAGCTGGAACTGGGGCCTTAGTCAAGGTAGAGGGAATCCATGAACAGTTCCAAATACCAGTCAATATTGGCACAAAATTCAGGCATCTACTAGAAAGCAGAACATGAAGAGGAACATAATCTTTCAGCATGACAACGACCCAAAGCATACATCCAAATCAACAAAGGAATGGCTTCACCAGAAGAGGATGAAGGTTTTGGAATGGCCCAGCCAGAGCCCAGACCTGAATCTGATCAAAAATCTGTGGGATGATCTGAAGAGGGCTGTGCACAGGAGATGCCCTCGCAATCTGACAGATTTGGAGTGTTTTTGCAAGGAAGAGCGGGGAAATATTGCCAAGTCAAGATGTGCCATGCTGATAGACTCCTCCCCAAAAAGACTGAGTGCTGGAATCACATCAAAAGGGGCTTCAACAAAGGATTAGTGTAAGGGTGTGCACACTTATGCAATCATATTATTTTAGTTTTTTATTTTTACTTCACTCCACCTAAAAGATTTCAGTTTGTTGTTCAGCTGAGTTGTACAGTTTATAGGTCACATTAAAGGTGGAAAAAGTTCTGAAATTATTTATCTTGATCTCATTTTTTACATCACAGATACCTGATATTTTAACAGGGGTGTGTAGACTTTTTATATCCATTGTGTCTATGTATATATACATGTACAATTAGGTCCATATATATCTGGACACAGGCACAATTTTAGTTTTTTTCAGGTATTTACCAAAACATATTCAAGCTATAGTTCTATAATGGAAAGTACACACTCTCAGGTTGAATTTGAGGGTATGTACATCCAAATTGGAGGAAGGGTTTAGGAATTATAGCTCTTAAAGAGTAGCCATCCCCCCGGTTTCATGGAACCAAAAGTAATTGAACAAATGAATATAATCATAAATAAAATGTTCATTTTAATATTTTGTTTAGAATCCTTTACTGGCAATGACTGCCTGAAGGTTGGAACCCATGGACATTACCAAAGACTGGGTTTCCTTCTTCTGATGCTTTGCCTGAAGTCTGGAACCCATGGACATTACCAAAGACTGGGTTTCCTCCTTTTCTGATGCTTTGCCTGAAGTCTGGAACCCATGGACATGACCAAAGACTGGGTTTCCTCCTTTCTGATGCTTTGCCAGGCTGTAACTGCAGCTGTTTTCGGTTGTTCTTTGTGGATCTTTCTGCCTTTTAGTTTTGCCTTCAGCAAGTGAAATGCATGCTCAGTTGGGTGGAGATCAGGTGATTGACTTGGCCATTGCAGAATATTCCACTTCTTTTTCTTCAAATGTTCCTGGGTTGCTTTTGCAGTGTGTTTTGGATCATTGTCCATCTGTACTGTGAAGCGCCGCCCAATCAACTTTGCTGCATTTGGCTCAATCTGGGCTGACAGTATATCTGTAAACACGGCAGAATTCATCCGGCTGCTTCTGTCACATCATCAATAAACACCAGTGACCCAGTGCCATTGGAAGCCATGCATGCCCATGCCATCACACTGCCTTCACCATGTTTTACGTTGTGTGCTTTGGGTCATGAGCTGTTTCAAGCCTTCTCCACACTTTTTTCTTCCCGTCATTCTGGTACAGATTCATCTTAGTTTCAGCCGTCCAAAGAATGCTTTTCTAGAACTGGTCTGGCTTTTTAGTTGTTTTTTGGAAAAGTCTAATCTGGCTTTTCTATTCTTCAGGCTTATGAATGGTTTGCACCTTGTGGTGAACTCTCTGTATTTGCTCTCCTTAAGTCTTCTCTTGATTGTAGACTGACAATGATACGCCCACCTAGTGGAGAGTGTCCTTCACTTGTCTGGGTGTTGTGAATGGGTTTTTCTTTACCATAGAGAGGATCCTGCGATCATCCACCACTGTTGTCTTCCATGGACATCCATGCCTTTTTATGTTGAGCTCACCAGTGTGTTCTTCTTTCCTCAGAATGTATCAAACTGTTGATTTGGCCACTCCTAATGTTGCTGCGATCTCTCTGATGGATTTGTTTAGGTTTGGAAGCCTTACAATGGCCTGTTTCAATTGCATGGTCAGCTTCTTTGAACTCATGATGTAGGTTCACAGCAATAGATTCCAAATGCAAATTCCGCACTTAGAATCAACTCCAGACCTTTTACTTGCTTAATTGATGAAGAAATAACGGAGTAACCCACACCTGGCCATGAAACAGCTTTTGATTCAATTGTCCAATTACTTTTGGTCCCTTGAAAAAGGGGGGATGGCTACTCTTAAGAGCTGTAACTACTAAACCCTTCCTTCAATTTGGATGTACATACCCTCAAATTAAACCTGGGAGTGTGCACTTCCAGCCCATATCCATTATATAACTATAGCTTGAATATGTTTTGGTAAATACCTGAAAAAAACTAAAATAATATTATGCAGGCACATTATATTGCCAAAAGTACTGGGACGCCTGCCTTTCCACGCAGGTGAACTTTGTTGGCATCCTAGTTTTAGTCCGTAGGGTTCGATATTGAGTTGGCCCCGCCCTTTGCAGCTATAACAGCTTCAACTCTTCTGGGAAGGCCGTTCACAAGGTTTTGGAATGTTTTTATGGGAATGTTTGACCATTCTTCCATAAGATCCTTTGTCAGGTCAGGCACTGATGTCGGACGAGAAGGCCTGGCTCGCAGTTTCCGCTCTAATTCATCCCAATGGTGTTCTATGGGGTTGAGGTCAGGACTCTGTGCAGGCCAGTCAAGTTCCTCCATCCCAAACTGTCTCCTCCATGTCTTTATGGACCTTGCTTTGTGCACTGGTGTACAGTCATGTTGGAACAGGAAGGGGCCATCCCCATACTGTTCCCAAAAAGTTGGGAGCATGAAATTGTCCAAAATGTCTGACGCCTTCAGAGTTCCATTCACTGGAACTAGGGGGCAAAGCCTAACCCCTGAAAACCACCATAATCCCCTCTCCACCAAACTTTGCTCTTGGCACAATGCCGTCAGGCAAGTACCGTTCTCCAGGCAACCGCCAAACCCAGACACGTCCATCCATCGGATTGCCAGACAGAGAAGTGCGATTGGTCACTCCAGAGAACATGGCTCCTCCGCTCTGGAGTCCAGTGGCGGCGTGCTGTACACCACGGCATCCGATGCATTGCACTTGGTGATGTAAGGCTTGGATGAAGCTGCTCGACCATGGAAACCCATTCCATGAAGTCCTCTATGCACTGTTGTGGTGCTAACCTGAAGGCCACACCAAGTTTGGAGGTCTTATTGGATGGACTTATTGCCCAGGTGGCCACCTATCACGGGACCACGCTTGGAGTCACTGAGCTCCTGAGAGCAAACCATTCTTTCACCAATGTTTGTAGAAGCCGTCTGCATGCCTAGGGGCTTGATTTTATACACCTGTGTCCATGGAGGTGATTGGAACACCTGAATCTAATGATTTGTAGGGCTGGCCCAATACGTTTGGCAATAGTGTGTGTGTGTGTGTGTGTGTGTGTGTGTATATGTATACGCACACGCACACACACGCAAAACTATTTGGCCAGCCCTCCAAATCTTTTGGATTTAGGTGTTCCGATCCCCTCCATGGCCACAGGTGTATACAATCAAGCCCCTACGCATGCAGACTGCTTCTACAAACATTGGTGAAAGAATGGGTCGCTCTCAGGAGCTCAGTGACTCCAAGCGTGGTCCCGTGATAGGTGGCCACCTGTGCAATAAGTCCATCCGTGACATTTCCTGGCTACTAAATAATCCACGCTCAACTGTTAGTGGGATTATAACAAAGTGGAAACAACTGGGAACAACAGCAACTCAGCCACCAAGTGGTAGGCCACGTCACATGACAGAGCGGGGTCAGCGCATGCTGAAGCGCACAGTGTGCAGAAGTCACCAACTGTCTGTAGAGTCAATAGCTAAAGACCTCCAAACGTGGTGTGGCCTTCAGATTAACACAACCGTGCGTAGAGAGCTTCATGGAATGGGTTTCCATGGCCGAGCAGCTGCATCCAAGCCTTACATCACCAAGTGCAATGCAAAGCGTCGGATGCCATGGTGTAAAGCACGCCGCCACCGGACTCTAGAGCAGTGGAGACATGTTCTCTGGAGTGACCAATCACACTTCTCTGTCTGGCAATCTGATGGACATGTCTGGGTTTGGCGGTGGTCAGGAGAACGATACTTGCCTGACGGCATTGTGCCAAGTGTAAAGTTTGGTGGAGGGGGATTATGTTGTGGGGTTGATTTTCAGGGGTTGGGCTTGGCCCCCTAGTTCCAGTGAAGGGAACTCTTAAGATGTCAACATACTAAGACATTTTGGACAATTTCATGCTCCCAACTTTGTGGGAAGAGTTTAGGGATGGCCCCTTCCTGTTCCAACATGACTGCACACCAGTGCACAAAGCAAGGTCCATAAAGACATGGAGGAGCCAGTTTGGGGTGGAGGAACTTGACTGTCCTGCACAGAGTCCTGACCTCAACCCCATAGAACACCTTTGGGATGAATTAGAGCGGAGACTGCGAGCCCCCTGCAAAACACAGCAAAAACGCAAGTGCAGAAACAGCTCAAATGCAACCTGCATAGATGTGAACCTAACCTAAGCCACATCTCCAAACTAATGTCATTAATTGGACTCCAGGTGTGCAAACTACTAACTCCAGTTAGCTTTTTGTTGAAGTAATTAGTGTATGTATTCACTTATGCAGGTCATACATGGGTCGAATTCCAAACTAATTTATTTAGAAAATCGGAAATTGCATGCGTTTTGTAATGCAATGGCGCCACCATTGTTTCGAAATTCAATCAACCAAGCCTTCAATTTCTCCTCATGTTGCTACAGAAAATAATTTTTGCCAAGAAAAGAATTGTGGCCAAGAATTTTCTTTTCTTTCCAGGTCACAGCTTTATATTTTTGCACGATTCTTTCATCATTGATTCGAAATTTGTTCATTTTTCAAAAAATTTCCAACATTCTCGATCGCTCCGATTCGATGGTCACATGAAAATCGGCCATTTCTGTGTCCCACTAATGGTGCGAAATTCGAATGAAAATTATTACAAAAAGATTTTCGAAATTGGACCCGTGTATGTCTGGCTTTAGTTTTTTCTCTAGCATTGTGAATGTTTAAAGGATGTGTTCAATAAAGAAATTACATTAAGGTAAAAAAAAAAAACCTTTCAATGTCAGCTCCCCGCAGACCCCTCCTTAAATACGTACCTGAGCCCTCTCCTGATCCAGCGCTGTGCCCGTCTACAACAATGCTGCTCTTTTCTCCCCTTTTCTCATAGGAGGCTCGGCAGCAGCAGTAGCCATTGTCTCCTGCTGTTATCAATTGAATCCTGTGAGCAGGAGGCAGGGCTGAGCTGCGCTGTGTGTGTCAATAGACGCACACAGTCTGGTTTAGGATTGAGCTGGCACCAGTGTCCACATAGCAAGCGGCTTGCTGTGGGGGCACTCAGAAGGGAGAAGTAGCCGAGACCTCCAGCAGGGGACCCCAGAAGAAGAGCTTCAGATCTGCTCTATGCAAAACCATTGCACAGAGCAGGTATGTATGACTTGTTTGTTAAAAAAAAAATCAAATAAAAAAAAATAATAAAAAATGAACCTTTACAATCACTTTAAAGTGTTACTAAACCCACAACAGTAAGATCAGTCTGTAGATGCAGTAAAGCATGCTTGTTATACTCACTGTGGAACCTAAGGGGTTAATCCTCTGCATTGTGTAAAAAACCTGTTCATAGGACAGTCAGAGGAGAATGAAAATTCCTCCTATAAGATTAACCAGTGCTCTGCTGGACACTGATAGAAGTCACAAGACTGCTCTATACTGTGGATGAGAAAAGGGATAGTGAATGCAGGGTCCGGGGAGAGCGGATATAGTGAATGCAGGGTCTGGGGAGACCAGATATAGTGAATGCAGGGTCCGGGGAGAGCGGATATAGTGAATGCGGGGTCCGGGGAGAGCGGATATAGTGAATGCGGGGTCCGGGGAGAGCGGATATAGTGAATGCGGGGTCCGAGGAGAGCGGATATAGTGAATGCGGGGTCCGGGGAGAGCGGATATATAGTGAATGCGGGGTCCGGGGAGAACGGATATAGTGAATGCGGGGTCCTGGGAGAGCGGATATAGTGAATGCGGGGTCCGGGGAGAGCGGATATAGGGAATGCGGGGTCCGGGGGAGAGCGGATACAGCGAATGCGGGGTCCGGGGAGAGCGGATACAGCGAATGCGGGGTCCGGGGAGAGCGGATACAGCGAATGCGGGGTCCGGGGAGAGCGGATACAGCGAATGCGGGGTCCGGGGAGAGCGGATACAGCGAATGCGGGGTCCGGGGAGAGCGGATACAGCGAATGCGGGGTCCGGGGAGAGCGGATACAGCGAATGCGGGGTCCGGGGGGAGCGGATACAGCGAATGCGGGGTCCGGGGAGAGCGGATACAGCGAATGCGGGGTCCGGGGAGAGCGGATACAGCGAATGCGGGGTCCGGGGAGAGCGGATACAGCGAATGCGGGGTCCGGGGAGAGCGGATACAGCGAATGCGGGGTCCGGGGAGAGCGGATACAGCGAATGCGGGGGTCCGGGGAGAGCGGATACAGCGAATGCGGGGTCCGGGGGAGAGCGGATACAGCGAATGCGGGGTCCGGGGAGAGCGGATACAGCGAATGCGGGGTCCGGGGAGAGCGGATACAGCGAATGCGGGGTCCGGGGGGAGAGCGGATACAGCGAATGCGGGGTCCGGGGGGAGAGCGGATACAGCGAATGCGGGGTCCGGGGGGAGAGCGGATACAGCGAATGCGGGGTCCGGGGGGAGAGCGGATACAGCGAATGCGGGGTCCGGGGGGAGAGCGGATACAGCGAATGCGGGGTCCGGGGAGAGCGGATACAGCGAATGCGGGGTCCGGGGAGAGCGGATACAGCGAATGCGGGGTCCGGGGAGAGCGGATACAGCGAATGCGGGGTCCGGGGAGAGCGGATACAGCGAATGCGGGGTCCGGGGAGAGCGGATACAGCGAATGCGGGGTCCGGGGAGAGCGGATACAGCGAATGCTGGGTCCGGGGAGAGCGGATACAGCGAATGCTGGGTCCGGGGGAGTGCGGATACAGCGAATGCTGGGTCCGGGGAGAGCGGATACAGCGAATGCTGGGTCCGGGGAGAGCGGATACAGCGAATGCTGGGTCCGGGAGTTGTTGGTATGGAGTGGGGTTGTCTCTGATGTGTAGGAACAATAAAGTTGATTCTAGCCTTCCAGGAAAACATTGAGACTTTATTTACACATTAGTTTTTAGTGTTATTACTTCACTTATATAAAATAAAACTGGTAGAGAAGTCTGAGCTGTTTAGTTTGAATGTGTTCATTTTATTATTGTCTATAAAGTTGTGTTTAGAAATCTAATAATGTCTGATTAGCTAACATTTATAGTTTTTCCCTGTAATCCTCTAAACAGGTTGACAGCTATTCAAGTCTTGGAAAGTCTTCATCATCTCTCCTGACCACTGTTGGCAGTGTGCTCTCAGGAGACATGAATGTCAGTCCAGTCTCTCCTTCAATAATTCAAAGGTCCGGCTCTCCACTTTTAACTGGGATTTCCCCTTCTGCAGCAGCAGGGGGGAGAAGTCTGAGCACAAAGGAGGAGCTCACCAGCAAAGCCCCTCTAAACCCTGGGCCTACTCTCATAGCAAATTACCCCCTAAACAGGCCCCCTGCTTCATCTGCGGGCAATTTTTTGGATTTGCTGAATAGAAACGAGTCTCCTGGCATTCCTTTTGGTTCTCCGACTTCTTTTCTGAACACCAATGAAGTCATTAAAAGTTCAGCTCTAAGAGGAGATGGCTTTTTGTCATTGCATGATCAGGTGAAACCAGAGATGAAATCGGCAACTGCTCCACTAACTTTCCCTAAGCAGAAGAAGGAGCAGATGAGGTGCCTCTCGGAAATTGAAGAGGAGGAGAGATTTCTCTATGGAGACGAGGATGATAAGCCTCCGGAGCCTAGCAAAGAGCCCCCTATGCAAGCGCCTCCCATGCAAACACTTCCCATGCAACCTCCACCCAAGCAAACGCCACCCGCAAACGTTCCCAAGAATACTCCTGATGAGAAGGAGTATGCTAAGATCCATGATCTCCTAAAGACTATTGGACTAGACATTGGTGTGGCGGAGATCGGGAAACTTGCTGTGAGGACTCAAGAGCGGCTTCATGGAAAGAAAGCGATACCAAGAACATCGCAGACCCCATCGGAGAAAGCCCAGAACACCATCGCCAAACCTGAACTCGCGGTGAAAGCAGAACAGAAAGAGAAGGTTGTTGTACCGAAAATAACAGCAAAAACCGAGAGACCTGCAAAGCCACCTGTGACCGGAAAGCTTTCACCAGTTGCCCAGCAGTCGGGAACTACCATCAAAGAGAAGACAACGCCTGTAACACCAAAGACAGCTGCCAAAGAGCAGAGCCAGCCCACATCCAAAATGGAGACAATAGGGCAACCAATTAGTACTGTGCAAACATCCAGTGTTAGCTCGGTCCAGGCGATCAGCACTGTCCAGGCAATTACCACCGTTCAGTCACCCCCCATTGCAGTTCAGCCACTCCCAGTTGCTCCTGTCCCAGAGCTGACCCCTCCTCCTATAAGCCCCTCCCAGGTTCCTCTTTATTCTCCATACAACCCCTCCCCAATGGTACCCAACTTTGCAGTTCCACCTCCCACATATAACCCGTATTCACCTTATGTGACATACCCAACATCCAACTGGACAATGTATCCCCCACCACCGCCCGTTCACCAGCCTCCTCCTCCTCCAACTCATATACCACCTCCAATACCTTCCGCTCATTTAACTACCCCTCCTACAACTCACAACCCCCGCAGTAACCTACGCGTCATTGAAACAAACGCAGATCTTACCGAGGTCACCACTGCAAAGAATGAAACGAAAACAGGGCTGCTGGCCAAACACGAAGCTGAACGTAGAAACAAAGAAGCCGAGAAGCTGAAAGTAAGTCTATACCAGAGACTCTGCCATATCTGGTATGAGTCGGGGGAAAAACGTAGAGATCTTCTTTACCATTGTTTCTTGATGTTCTTTGAAGCTGGCCATAGATTCCTTTTTATCAGCCGGCGGGCTGAATGAAAAAAAAAATCGAAATGATTCCTCCTTAGGACTCACCTCCCTGCTGAAACGTATTCTGACAGCAGGGTCTTTAACCTCTGACAGCAGGGTCTTTAACCCCTGACAGCAGGGTCTTTAACCCCTGACAGCAGGGTCTTTAACCCCTGACAGCAGGGTCTTTAACCTCTGACAGCAGGGTCTTTAACCTCTGACAACAGGAAGTAGCAGCAACCATGATCTTGGTATAACCACTTCAACCTAAGGCCGTTTATAAATGGCCTAAGGTTGGAAGTGGTTAAAAGATACAATCAAGATGTTATTTATCAATCCAGTTAAAGACAGGAGAGCTAGACTATGATACCATTGGAATTCTGATTATAAGGAATGTAACATATGAATACTTTCTACTGTAATCTTTCCAGATTAGGGCATGAGTATTAGAACATTACATTATGTATAAATATACTAGTTTGTCATATTATTTGGTTCAAATAATAGATATAAGAATGCAACAAAGCTATAGTTACATTTTACTATGTAGAAGGGTGGATGTCGCATACCTGTCTGTGGAGCTCGGGGTGGCCTCCTGCACAATTCCCATTGAAGCATCGGTCTTTACCTCTGACAGCAGGGTCTGTACCTCTGACAGCAGGGTCTGTACCTCTGACAGCAGGGTCTGTACCTCTGACAGCAGGGTCTGTACCTCTGACAGCAGGGTCTGTACCTCTGACAGCAGGGTCTTTACCTCTGACAGCAGGGTCTTTTACCTCTGACAGCAGGATCTTTACCTCTGACAGCAGGGTCTTTACCTCTGACAGCAGGATCTTTACCTCTGACAGCAGGGTCTTTACCTCTGACAGCAGGGTCTGTACCTCTGACAGCAGGGTCTGTACCTCTGACAGCAGGGTCTGTACCTCTGACAGCAGGGTCTGTACCTCTGACAGCAGGGTCTGTACCTCTGACAGCAGGGTCTGTACCTCTGACAGCAGGGTCTGTACCTCTGACAGCAGGGTCTTTACTTGTGTTTTGTTTGTTTTTGTTTTGTTCTGTGTTTTTTTTTTTTTTAATTACGCACATTTTTCAGTTCAAGCTGTCTTTTTTTTTTTTTTTTTTTCAATAACTAAATTATAAAGAATTAATCAGATGTATTAGAGTAAATTCAAACAATTATTTGTGTTGGTTAAAACTGAATAAGTACCTGTATTTGGGTCCCATTCACACTTGTTAATGTGGCTTTTATCGAGGTCCCAGCAAATGGCGACAGCCCCATTACAAGTGATAGGAGGCTTACAGCTCCCGCAGCTAATCATGGCTGTTCACGTGTAATTGTTCATGGAGCGAATACATGCGAGCAGCCATGATTAGCTACGGGAGACGTCAACCGCACTTTGGGGCTGCCTACCGCAGCTGATCCATGGGAACCCCTTCTGGGTCCCCAGCATGTAAATGCTAATGGCCCCATTTGAAAGTGTGAATGAGGTCTTAAAGGGTAACTCCGCTTTTTTGTTGAGGAAAAAATTATTCTCCTCCTGCGTGATCTATGTACATTGCAGGGATTTCAACACACCTTTTTTGCAGATTCCTACCTTTTGTTATTCTGAAGAAATAGCTGAATCTGTATGGGAGTGGATTTGTAATTATCAGTTGCTGCACCTGCAGGGTTCTCATGAGGAAAGTGGCAGGGTCTGCATCCTTTTAGACGTGATTTCCCTTTGGGAGTGTCTCACGGAAAATGCCATTTTTTTTGTTGCAGGGGATGCTTAAAATCGAATTTGTATCTTAGTGCAGACTTCTGGGAAAATCAGTAAGCCAATCACACAAGCAGGAAATGACACATCTGCGGGGTGTCCTGTACACCATCTGTGTACAGAATGCCTCCAGGTAACCATATTGGATTGCATTTTGCCAAAAATCTGCAGGAAAGGAATGGTCATATTTAACATTCAGTTACCATATGGCTTGAGTCACAATTGTGTGCGCTATAATATATATATATATTTTTTTCAATTTGCAAATTTTTTCCCCCACAAAAAAGGAGTTACCCTTTAAACCCCTTCATCGAGTTTTCTAACTGCATATTTCTTTTCTTTTTTTTTTTTCAAATGTTTTCAAATTGTTTTTGTATCTTTTTGAAACTTGCCTGCTGTTGTTTCCCTCTCCCAGCATTTCCCCGAACGTCCGCTCAGAGAGGGCACACTGATTTACCACTTGACCTCCTGACATAAGGACTACATGTCCCATAATCCCCTTGGTTTTTTTTTTTTTTTTTTTTTACAGAGTATGCTTTATTGAACATGCTCAGGCACAGTTCGTCTGCCCAGTAACTAGATGGCTTCTCCATCCAGCAGTCCTTGAACTGACAGCAATAGCAGAATAAACCTGGGAAATTAATTACAAAAGAAATGATATAACTTAAAATTGAAAAAAAAAAATATATCTTCCATACTTTGAAATGTCAATATTTTATTTCAAGTTATGTAATTAATTTTTTTTTTCTAAATTTGCCAGCCTTTTCCGGTTGCTGTCCTTCTAAGGTCTGGTGGGTGGAGAAGCCATCTGAGCAGGCAGTCTGTGCCCAGAGCATGTTTGTGTGGTTGTAGTCGGCTGGCAGACCTTTCAAGGCCTTGTAGCTGTTCTATGGATGCTCCACAAGGCAGCTTAGCCATTCTATGGGCCCCCACAAGGCAGCCTAGCCATTCTATAGGCCCCCACAAGGCAGCGTAGCCATTCTGTGGGCCCCCACAAGGCAGCTTAGCCATTCTGTGGGCCCCCACAAGGCAGCTTAGCCGTTCTGTGGGCCCCCACAAGGCAGCCTAGCCGTTCTGTGGGCCCCCACAAGGCAGCCTAGCCGTTCTGTGGGCCCCCACAAGGCAGCGTAGCCATTCTGTGGGCCCCCACAAAGCAGCGTAGCCATTCTCTGGGCCCCCGCAAGGCAGCGTAGCCATTCTGTGGGCCCCCGCAAGGCAGCGTAGCCATTCTGTGGGCCCCCGCAAGGCAGCGTAGCCATTCTGTGGGCCCCCGCAAGGCAGCGTAGCCATTCTGTGGGCCCCCGCAAGGCAGCGTAGCCATTCTGTGGGCCCCCGCAAGGCAGCGTAGCCATTCTGTGGGCCCCCGCAAGGCAGCGTAGCCATTCTGTGGGCCCCCGCAAGGCAGCGTAGCCATTCTGTGGGCCCCCGCAAGGCAGCGTAGCCATTCTGTGGGCCCCCGCAAGGCAGCGTAGCCATTCTGTGGGGCCCCCGCAAGGCAGCGTAGCCATTCTGTGGGGCCCCCGCAAGGCAGCAGCGTAGCCATTCTGTGGGGCCCCCGCAAGGCAGCGTAGCCATTCTGTGGGGCCCCCGCAAGGCAGCGTAGCCATTCTGTGGGGCCCCCGCAAGGCAGCGTAGCCATTCTGTGGGGCCCCCGCAAGGCAGCGTAGCCATTCTGTGGGGCCCCCGCAAGGCAGCGTAGCCATTCTGTGGGGCCCCCGCAAGGCAGCGTAGCCATTCTGTGGGGCCCCCGCAAGGCAGCGTAGCCATTCTGTGGGGCCCCCGCAAGGCAGCGTAGCCATTCTGTGGGGCCCCCGCAAGGCAGCGTAGCCATTCTGTGGGGCCCCCGCAAGGCAGCGTAGCCATTCTGTGGGGCCCCCGCAAGGCAGCGTAGCCATTCTGTGGGGCCCCCGCAAGGCAGCGTAGCCATTCTGTGGGGCCCCCGCAAGGCAGCGTAGCCATTCTGTGGGGCCCCCGCAAGGCAGCGTAGCCATTCTGTGGGGCCCCCGCAAGGCAGCGTAGCCATTCTGTGGGGCCCCCGCAAGGCAGGCGTAGCCATTCTGTGGGGCCCCCGCAAGGCAGCGTAGCCATTCTGTGGGCCCCCGCAAGGCAGCGTAGCCATTCTGTGGGCCCCCGCAAGGCAACGTAGCCATTCTATGGGCCACCGCAAGGCTGCCCACAGAATGGCTACGGTGGCAGCGTAGCCATGCGTACGCTGCCCCCGCAAGACAGCGTAGCCATTCTGTGGGCCCCCACAAGGCAGCGTAGCCATTCTGTGGGCCCCCGCAAGGCAGCGTAGCCATTCTGTGGGCCCCTGCAAGGCAGCGTAGCCATTCTGTGGGCCCCCGCAAGGCAACATAGCCATTCTATGGGCCACCGCAAGGCAGCCCACAGAATGGCTACGGTGGCAGCGTAGCCATGCATACGCTGCCCCCGCAAGACAGCGTAGCCATTCTGTGGGCCCCCGCAAGGCAGCTTAGCCATTCTCTGGGCCCCCGCAAGGCAGCGTAGCCATTCTCTGGGCCCCCGCAAGGCAGCGTAGCCATTCTCTGGGCCCCCGCAAGGCAGCGTAGCCATTCTCTGGGCCCCCGCAAGGCAGCGTAGCCATTCTCTGGGCCCCCGCAAGGCAGCGTAGCCATTCTCTGGGCCCCCGCAAGGCAGCGTAGCCATTCTCTGGGCCCCCGCAAGGCAGCGTAGCCATTCAGTGGGCCCCCGCAAGGCAGCGTAGCCATTCAGTGGGCCCCCACAAGGCAGCGTAGCCATTCAGTGGGCCCCCACAAGGCAGCGTAGCCATTCTGTGGGCCACCGCAAGGCAGCCTAGCCACCCTATAGACAAAAGTGTATTTTGCAAGAGATTCTATTCTTTTGAATGAATGGATAACCCTGAGAAGGAAAGCAGTCAGTGTTTCTGAAAACATGTAAGTGATGCTACAATGTATTATTTTTTAAATAAGTTTATCAACACTTTATTTTGTAGAGAGCTAGGTATTATCCCCCATTGCCATGAGCCATGGTGACTGTTGTGGCACCTTCCGTGGTACGACTTTCACAGGCTTGAAGGCTGATTGAGGTTGTACATTTTAGATGAATTTACATTTTTGAATATTTTTGGCAAAATAAGAGAATGAAAGTAAAATCATTTTGCCCAGAATTCTCTCTAAATTGTATTTGGTCCTGAATGAACTACAGGTTCCAGCGATACACTTCTTCTAGCAAGAGGAGCTTTGAGCCACCCTAACAGCATCTGAACTCTAGTTGTCTTTTATTTGTGTTCCTGAGATAGAGAACAGCATTGCCAGCAGAATCAACATTGTATGTGACCACCGACAAAGAACTGTAGACGTAAAAAAAATCCAATTTCTACCTACTCTTGCCGTTCTCCAGTGCTGTCCCCAGCTTCCTGCTCACTCCAGTGCTGGCGGTCCTGTTCCAGGCAGAACGACGCTTCCTAACGTTTACACACCCCCTGTGGGGGGGAAGTGGGGGGCTGCTTGTTATCACGCATGCTGGCCTCACAGTACTCCATGACTGAATGGTATTAAAGACTCCCATCACACCAACACGCACACCAAAACACTTTGCACTGTTTACAATTTTTTTTTTTTTTTTATTGAAATACTACAAAATGACACTTCACTCAAGTCTCTGTACTGCATAGACTTATGTTGCGGCTCAGTATAAGGCCCAGCTCCCTGTTTATAACAAAAGGAAATGGGACGCCATACACCAAAGAACATCCTAAACTACAAAACTGTAAAAAGCAGCTGCAACCTGGTTCCTTGCAGGCCACGCACCGCTAACGCGTTTCACACCAACTTGGCCATAGAGGACCTCAGGCCTGTGGTCGGTGCAAAATGCGTCACTCGGGCATGACAGTATAAGACCCAACTCCCTGTTTATAACAACAGGAAATTGGACGCCACACACCAAAGAACATTCTAAACTACGAAACGGTAAAAAACAGCTGCAACCTGGTTCCTTGCAGGCCATGCCCTTCTAACGTGTTTCACGCCAATACGACTTGGCCATAGAGGACCTCAGCCCTGTGGGTGGTGCAAAACGCGTCACTCGGGCATGACAGTATAAGGCCCAACTCCCTGTTTATATCAAAAGGAAATGGGACGCCACACACCAAAGAACATCCTAAACTACGAAACGGTAAAAAGCAGCTGCAACCTGGCTCCTTGCAGGCCACGCACCTCCAACGCGTTTCACGCCAACAGGACTTGGCCATAGAGGACCTTTTATGACTTAGCCCAGTGGGCGGTGCAAAACGCGTCACTCGGGCATGGCAGTATAAGGCCCAACTCCCTGTTTATAACAACAGGAAATGGGACGCCACATACCGAAAAACAACACAAACTACGAAAGGGTAAAAAGCAGCTGCAACCTGGCTCCTTGCAGGCCACGTCTCTAACGCGTTTCACGCCAACAGGACTTGGCCATAGAGGACCTCTTATGACTTAGCCCTGTGGGCGGTGCAAAACACGTCACTCGGGCATGAATTGAGAGCCAAGCTGAAGCCAATTTTCTCTTTCGTTCATTCAAGGACACAGCCATGCTTCATGACGGATGGGGTTTGAGCAGGACATCTCCATCTGCAGCAAGGAGGTCAGTTATTTCTTAGCATCTCAGGAATTAGGATGTGGAGCTTTCAAGCTCCTAGTTTTTGCTATTTTGTTTGCTGATATTTCAATTTAGTTTTTAGTTCTTGTCGATGGATTGAAGCCACTTTTTTATTGTGTCTTAGTTTGGGCTGTTCTTGATGTGCGGTGTCCCATTTCCTATTATGTGACTGAAGCGAGCCAGGATGAGCTCTTTTGAATGCTGTCACCTGCCAGCAGTAAGAGCCGCTGGACTACCTTGGAACGGCGCTGTTAGCCTTTTTCGTTAAGGTCCCAACTTCCTGTTGCCACAAATGTGCTTATGAACGGGTTAGGTATGAAGCTGAGCTCAGTAACACGGGGACATGAACCCAAACCAGCAGGAGGAAAATTCAATACTAGATAATGAACGACGCTCAAGCTGGGGAAGCCAAACTCCCGCAGTCACCAGGGAGAAAGACGCAGGCTGCCAAAAGCGCTCATCCGAAGTGATGCATATACAAAATCAAGGAAGTGCCGCACTCCCGTCCAGCCAGCCTAGTGTAGACTTCAAAACAGCCTAAGCCCATGAGTCTCCACGGTAGCCACGCCCTCTGACATGTTTCGCTCCGCTCACAGGAGGTTAAACAAGGGGTCAGGACAAGAGCGTGGCGCTTCTTTGATGTTACTGAGCGTGGTTAGGTAGCGAGTCATTGAACAGCAAGAAAATTTAAACATGCTTGGGATAAACAGATTTATATTTAGACAAAAATGTGTATTAAAAATAACAAAAAAAAAAATGAGCACTTGATGGACAACTTGGTCTTTTTCTGAGGTCACTCGTCTGTGTTTTTGTTACTTGCTTTTAATCCAGTGCATAAGACTTATCTTTTGACTGGTGGTAAGTGCCCCACATTGCAGGTTTCTTTTTGCACTTCATTGACATCGGTCAGTGCCGTAATTGATGTATCATAACTTGTTAACTAGAAGAAGCAGTTCTGAACAGCCAGAGTTCAAGGTAAGTCTGGAGCCTCCAGTGGTTTTTTTTTTCCCTTCAATTGTCTTGCCTGAGACTAGTCTGGATTTTAATTTACCAAAATATTGAGATAATGACACATGGAACAAATGCTTCCATATTTTTAAGGTGCTGGATGAGCTGGAGGGACTCAAGAAGGAAGGTGAAAGCCAAAACCATAAACCTGGTGAATCTGAGCACGAAGGTGGAGCAGCTGCGTATACAGCATGGTGAGGAACTCTTCTCCCACTTATACATTGACCAAGCGGTGGGTGGGTCATTTAAAACTGTATACATTCCATAGATATAATTGTTTCCCAGTAATATTCTACAGCCGCCATAATGATTTTGTCATGTCACAGCAATTCTCATGCGGAAGAAGCGTCGAGAGAAAGATGGTCACAAGGACCCTCTCCTGGAGGAGCTGAACAATGTTCTGGATAGTGCCCGCAAGCAGATCAGCTCTCTGAACAAGGAGATTGGCGAAACCAAGCACAAGCAACAACAGTTGATCAAGGTGGCCGAGATCCTAGGTGTTAGCCCCATGGATTTAGCAGACAAAAAAGAAACTTCTAAAGAAAAGGAGAAGAGCCCTATATTTTATAGGGTAGGTAGTGTTCAGAGGTCCTGTTCTTCAGGCACCTCTGAAACTATAACACCTCCTGACTTGTCAGCAGCTCTATATGTTTACTGTGATGTTTCTCCAGCCACATTATTCCATTTGTTCTTCTTTGCTTAGATGCTCCTTCTTTCCTCTCTAGGACTCCAGTAATGATGCAAAATTCAGTGGAAGCATCAAGGAGAAAAAAGACTCAAAGACTAGTCAGGACTCCAAAGAGAAGAGGGACTCGAAATCCAGCAGAGACTTACCACCTGCAACTGGTAAAAAAGCGGACGTTAAACCCAAGAGCAGATCAGATTCTTCAGGGGATGTTTCCCCTTCTGTCAGCTCTCCTCGCTTGTCCATAAAGACAGAAGATGACGTAAAGCCTAAACGATCTTCAAGATCCCCAAAGCTCCGCACTGACAAGAGGAGTAACTCAGAATGCAGCTCACCTAGCTCGTCAAAGTCTGAGGAAACCTTGAAATCCCAAGACAAATCCAGGTCAAAAAGTCCACGGTCTAGTGCTCCTTCTTCAAAGGTCTCCCCCAAGAAAGAGGAACCATCTCCTTATGAAGTTGGGGACATATTTGAGTATTATGATTCTGGTGGACATTGGTGCGAGGACTGCAATAGCGTGTGCATAAGCGTACTTGACTTTATTCTACACTTTCACGATAGCAAGCACAGTGAGGTACGGATTAGAGGACCGCTGTTATTTCTCAGTGTGCAGGTGGAGGGGAATTTTGTCTTTACTATATATAAATTGTAGTTCTGAGTACACACATGGTAAGCCTTTTTATAGAACTCAATTACATTCTCATCGTGTTCGTATTTTTTTGTGTTCTGCAATAGTGTTTGAAGCACCCGAAGAGGCCTTGGGTGAAGCCAAAAGAGCCTGAAACCAGTAGTTCAAAGAAGCAGAAGGTTAATGTCCCACTAAAAGGTGAGTCACACTGTGTACATGCTTAATTATTGTTACAAGAGTGTAGTCAATGTCCGTGACATTTCTGTTCTCGGCCCCTAGGTGCAGAATTCCTATTTCCAACTAAAGGCTATTACTGCTTGCTTTGCGATCAGTCCTTTGCAGATCATGTAGGTGCTGACAACCATCTCCGAACTTATTCTCACAATGAAAAATTTAAGGTAGGTTTTTTTTTTTTTATTTCCCTTCTGTTGTTTCAGAATCCACATGGCTGGGTGAAGGAATGCAGGAAGATTGGCTGGATGAGTGTGAAGCAGTGGCGTGATGTTGGTTAAAGCTGAACTTTACCTTTTTATTCACTGTTGTAGCAAGTTCTCTCTTATGTTAAAATTGTCTGCTCTCAATTCATTGCAAACACGCCTCTCCACAATATAATCTTTGAGGCTGCAGCAGCAGTTTTGAGCCATCCTTAATTTACTGTCTGAATCTACTTAGTTGCTTCTTCTGCTGATCTGTACGGTTGCTGGCCTGCCTCTTACAGCTTTTGACTTTCTCTTCCATCAGTCATTTTTGCTTTTCATTGTGTGTTAGCGTGATCTTTAGGGCTGGTGTCAGTTGCTGTACTACTGTTCCCAGAGCATTATGTGAAAGAACACATCATTAGCATGCTCCTCCTTACTAGTCACTGGGTGCTGCAAACTTTGCCTGTGCAATCTGTTGATCAGTTGCTGTATTAGATAGTTAACAAGCAACTGATCAGCAGATTGCACAGATATTTTCAGTGGCTAGCAGGGAAGAGCATGGACATCTGAAGGGATGCTGGGGATGTGTTTTTATATAATATTTGGAAACAGCAGTACAGTGACTGGGAGCCCACCCCATTAAGGTGGCCAGCATTTACATAAAACCCTGCCAAGAGGCAGTGGACTGCTTGGGAGGGCTTTTGAAAGAAGATCCGAGGCAGGGTGCAGTAATGTTTGCAGGAGGCTGCTGGGCACATGCGCCAAATCAGACACTGATATCAACAGTGGGCCCACCCAGAGAACAAGAAAGAAGTTAGCCACCAAATACTTGTATTTCTGAAATGGGAGTGTGGGAATTCAAGCATGGGTGGACAGAGCAATGAGATTGGCAAAAAAAAAACCCAAAAGGAAGGAACAATATCAATATCTTATAAAAAGTTGTGATAAACAAAATAACCACAAATAATAGCGCAATCCTAAATTGAATCAATAAATTAATTTGCACAATATATATAACCACCACCAAATATGTGCAAATTAATAGTGCAATAACATAAATAAGGGATCTCAATATTGTCCATTCAAAAAAGTCCATATATCAATGATCCTCCTTCATTAAATGTGATATTCAGTGCTCAGAACACCCCATCAAAATGCACACTCACCATGTGCTAGTAATTAACCAGCATATTGGTATATATCCAGCATTCACCAAACAGACTCCAAAAGAAGATCCTCGTGTGTTGGTTATCAATCAGCATATCAATATATATCCAGTATTCCACCAAACAAACTCCAAAGGAAGATCCTCTCATATCCAAATTAGCTCATGTGGGTAAAGAAAGAACTCGCCATAGTGTAATATTATCCAACAGATTTATTGTAAAAAACCCCCTTAAAATCACACTCACAATAAGTAAGAGTAAAGCATTTGTTACATCAGGGCTCAGAGCCCTGTATCCAGCGTCTCACCAGCCTGCCTGCACGCAAGATGGCGGTAGTGCGATCACGTGATCCGGACATGTGCGTGGTGACGTCACCGGCTAGCCACACCCTAACGCGTTTCGTCCAATGACTTCCTCGGAAGAAGTCATTGGACAAAACGCGTTAGGGTGTGGCTAGCCGGTGACGTCACCACGCACGCCCGACGCACGTGTCCAGATCACGTGATCGCACTACCGCCATCTTGAGTGCAGGCAGGCTGGTGAGACGCTGGATACAGGGCTCTGAGCCCTGATGTAACAAATGCTTTACTCTTACTTATTGTGAGTGTGATTTTAAGGGGGTTTTTTTACAATAAATCTGTTGGATAATATTACACTATGGTGAGTTCTTTCTTTACCCACATGAGCTAATTTGGATATGAGAGGATCTTCCTTTGGAGTTTGGTGGAATACCGGATATATATTGATATGCTGATTGATTACCAACACATGAGGATCTTCTTTTGGAGTCTGTTTGGTGAATGCTGGATATATACTAATATGCTGGTTAATTACTAGCACATGGTGAGTGTGCATTTTGATGGGGTGTTCTGAGCACTGAATATCACATTTGATGAAGGAGGATCTCAGTACTTCATTGATTGAGGATCATTGATATATGGACTTTTTTGAATGGACTATATTGAGATCCCTTATTTATGTTATTGCACTATTAACTTGCACATATTTGGTGGTGGTTATATATATTTGTGCAAATTAATTTATTGATTCAATTTAGGATTGCGCTATTATTTGTGGTTATTTTGTTTATCACAACTTTTTATTATTTACAGTTTTTTATAATAGCAGCACCTATTAATTCTATCCACTCTCTGTTATATTGGCGCAATGATGTTGGTATAGGAGGAGTGTCATACTCATAGAGACATTTCTTTGGTGACTAACCTATAAATATCTTACTATAATTTCATAGATGTTGGTGGTGTAATATGAGGGTGGGGAGGGGAAGGTCCGCTTTATAACTTCCCTTCACTTAAGGTATGGTACAACTGTTGGAAAACTTCTGACCATTTACTAGCCCATGTTACTTTCACATGGCATTAATCTGGGAGTAGAAAATGCAGCTTTGAAAGTGCTTCTAGTTCAAGTGAGCAAAGCCTGGTCATGTGTTCTTTGTTGACGAGCAACATCGAAGTCCAGAATAGTTTATTATCCTTTTCAAAAATCTTCAGACCAAGTTTCTATGGTTTTGGTTACTTGGTCAACACTGGAGGGAGCCCGAAGCAGCAGTTTCTTTGGAAGTGGTAAGTATTTTAACGTATCCATTATTTTAAATGTTACCATTCCAGCATTGATGTGGATTGATATGTGGGTATGGATCCACCTCAAATACTTATTTAAAATTGATAATAGACCTATACTTTTATGCCTCTTTGATAGCCAATGTGTTTGAAGCGGTCCTTTTAAACCCCCCAATTTTTTTTTTTGTTTTGTTAACACCTGCTTACCTGGTTGGGGGTCCTGCACAGGTAACATACTCACCTGAGGTCCTCCACCCTTCTGTCCCATGCTAGGTCTCGTACCTCCATCTTCATGCTTGACGTCATCGCGAAGCCACCATCTATTCTGGGTGCAGCTGGTGGCTCTCCCAGTAACTCACTGCATGGCCTGCCACCCTCCTCATTTCTCGGTGAAAGCCAGTGTCTTTTGAGATACATAACGTTCATCTCTCAAGACAAACAGCATGCAAATTGTACTTCATTCTCCTAGGCCAGTGGTCTTCAAACTGTGGCCCTTTGCTTGCCTTTATCTTGCCCTTGGGGCAGCAGTATTTCTCCCACTGATGCAAAGCATTATTCATCCCACTGACACAAAAGATACGGCATTCTTCCTTCCACTGACACCAACAAGGGTGTGCTATTACTCCCACTGACATAAGGCACTATTCTTCAAAACTGACACCAGCAATTCGGCACCCTTCTTTCCACAGACAACAGAAATGGAGCTCTGGTTCTCCCATTATTACCAACAGTGGGGTGCTATTCCTCCATCTAATGCCAATGAAGGGAAGTTGGTTATAGCCACTGACGCTGTGAAATTTTCTACAAAGTGCCCCCCCCCCCCCCAAAGTCTGAAACCCAGTAAACTGGCCCTTTTGTGTGGATAGATTGGGCACCCCTGGCCTAGGTGAATGACGTGTGTAACAGAACTGGAACCCAACTGCACTAGGGTATTACCGTTAGACGATCAACGGACACCACCGCTGACCATACAAGACTAGACAAGACCAGTCTTGAAGGAAACCAGAAAATAGACTGCTTTATTTTATTATAGATGCAAGATATATACACAGGACGGGGCAATACACACCCAGTAACAAGAAACACATCAGCAGGCAGTCCCATCAGGGGGAAGGGCTGCTGGAAACACCCCCCACCAAGCCAGTACACAAACACATACATCCCATAATAGTTTGCTCCCAAGCAAGACGCACAATAAAACAATGGGAAACAACCACATGGCATTAAACAATGAACAACCCCCCACCTATATATGTCTACACAATATCAGGACATCTCATCCTGCACCCCTAACAGGCACAGGGTGACTTACACATAAGAGTGATATGGGGAGCTGAGATGGGTCTCCCTACCTCTCTAAAGTGAGCTGTGTTCCATGGGACCCCCACCCAAAGTGACTCCTGTCACATCATGTACAGAGGGAGGGCCAGAGGAGTTTTTTTTTAAAAAAAGTAAATGGGGGTGCAGCGGAGGGAATATGAGGAAGAGGGTGAAGATCTACTTTGTCAAGAAGACTATCCACATCCAGCCAGCAGCTGGATTGTTGTAGAAATGTGACAAGTTATTTGCAAGTTAAAAACTTTTTTTTTTGTTGTATTTGTTTTGGATACAGCAGGTTAGTGTTAAAACCCCTGTCCCATTCAAGGGATTTCCCTTCATTTCCAATCTTGTATGCACACAAGGAAATGAGAGGAAGTTTCCCATCAGTATCACAAATAGGGTGAATCTTGAAGACAAATTTTATCTTTTTGTTTACAGACAATTTTATTAAAAGATAGACAACAGTATAACCACTTGAAGATCAAAACAGCTCAAGAAAAAGGCACATAGGTGAGAAACGGTAGTATGAGATACAAGCGTAAAAAAGATAAATGCACGTACATGAATGAGGCAGTCAGTAAGAAATACAAAACAACCAAGCTGTTAAAGATTGGAAACACATCGAGCCATGATAGAGCAGACAAGTTTTATCTTTAGATGTACTTTAGGGCTGTATGCAGTATGGGACATGCAGGAGCCATACCTTTTTTTTTTTATTGCAGGCCTGAACTTAGTGAAGCTTTAAAGCCTTGTCTATATTGTTCATAATTTTGTTAGGAAATGTCTAGTGGTCATTCCTGTAAAGCACTCACTGCCATCTATATTCAGCAATGAGAAGAGTGCTAAGTGTACTGGTGGGCTCTCCTTGTCTTCTAAGGTGTCCAGAGGTCTAGAAAATGTATTTTCAGAGATCTTTTCAATTCCTTATCTTTAAGTGTTTTGTTGTCCCTAATATCCAATTTAACAGCTTCTGTAGTCAATCCCTGGCCTGCTCTCTTCCTGATGGCCAGTGTTTGGTCACCAATAAAAATGAGCTGGGTTTGGTCTAAAACAAGTTCAGCAGAATGTGTAGGAAACTGTCACACGATCTCATCCCCACAAGCCAAGTCTGCTTCGACCTGGGAACGCCCTGCAGCTGCATGTATACATAGGGGTGGGGGATGCTTGTGACATCATTTGCCTAATATGGCTATATTAGGTCAATGACATTGACCAAGTATGGCAATCTGGCCATATTGGACCAAAGAGGTCACAAACATCCCTGCCCCCGTTTGTATGTGAAGTTGCGGGGTGGGGAATGCCCTAGCTGCACCTGACTGAGCTGGTAGGGATGCAATCATATGACCGCTTCCAACTGACTTTGCCAAACCGAGTTCAGACCTACCCTGGCTCCTCTCTAATCACCAACGAGAAGGAGCAGACTAGGCAATTTTATGGATTGTCCTCAAAAGTTGTGGTTGACGTTTGCCTAACGGAGCACATGAGTTTTTTTAGGTTATCTCGGGGTTCTGTGGAGATGAAAATGGAGTTGCCTATTCTGTGGACCTGGAAATTCCCTTGGAAACAATGAGCTCAGGTTCACTTGAGGGGCTCAACACAGATGTTTGAAGGATATTAAATGCTTTGCAAATGCCTAATTCTACTGCTTATCTTTCTGCTGTTCCCATATTGAAGTAACTTCTGTATAAGATCTGATTGTTTTCTTCTAATAAGTAACAGTTTGAACTCCTTTTTTTTTGGGGGGGGGGTTCCTGTTTTGTTTCTTGATGATTTAAAAGTTAATGCTCTAATATTTTTTTTATTTTATTTTACAGAAATTTACAGATGAGAACATAAATTATGAAGTGTTTCGTCGTGAGAGAAAAAAGGACCGCTTGTCCGCAGCCCAGGCGGTGGCGCGCAAGCAAGCAGAGCAGAAGCGTAAACTACAGAATGAAGAGCACAGCCGATCAAAGAAATCCAAGAAAGACCATGAGGAGGACAAGAGCAGCAGCAACAGGCGCAGGTCACACATATCCAGCACAATCGTCAAGCCTGAACAAAAACAGAAGTCAAAAACTCCAGATAAAGAGCCGGTAAAAAATCTGCCACATTTGGAAAGTTTACATGGAAGTCAACCGACACCAAAAACCAAGAGAATGGCAACACACAAAAAGTTGAGGAGGCATCAGCGAAAGAAAAAGAGGAAGAGGCCAAAGGGCATAACACTAAGCCAAAGGGAATTGAAATTAAGCTTCTGGGTAAACCCAGCAATTCCCAGGGTAAAAGTCCTACTTCACCTTCTGGTACTCCTACTTCGCCTTCCGGTACTCCTACTTCGCCTTCCGATACTCCTACTTCGCCTTCCGGTACTCCTTTCCCTTCCGGTACTCCTACTTTACCTTCCGGTACTCCTACTTTACCTTCCAGTACTCCTGCTTTACCTTCCAGTACTCCATTTTCTAGTACACCCTCGTCGACAATCTCCACACTGACCACTGCTTCTATTGCTGCTTCTTTTATCACACCCTCTGCTTCCAATACTCCACGTATCAAAGTTAGACCGAATCTACCAGTTCCTTTGGCTCTCCTAAGAAAGTCTAGCGTAACTGTAAGCAAGCCTGCCCCTCTAAACACGTTCTTGTCCATAAAGTCTGCTGATGCCACATCCAAATCTTTACCTGTAGTCAAAAGCACTGCTCAGACTGTTCTGCCAGAAGATATAGTTTCTAAAGCTTTTGAGGGTGAAGAGGTGGTTTTAAAAGAAACCAAACCACAGCCTGTTCCAGCAGACACAAAAAAGGATGATACTAATAAGAATCCAGAACCTATTGCAAAGGCTCCTCTCCAAACCACTACTACATCTCAGCAGACTAGGGTCGGTGATTTGTACGATATGTTCTTTAAAAAGGTAACTACGGGCCCTCCTAATCAGGGTGCCAAAGTAAAGGCTGAACAAGACCGTAAGGCAGCGCCTTCTACAAAGCCTGCACCTTCTACAAAGTCCTCGCCTTCTACGAAGTCCTCGCCTTCTACGAAGTCCTCGCCTTCTACGAAGTCCTCGCCTTCTACGAAGTCCTCGCCTTCAACGAAGCCCTCGCCTTCAACGAAGCCCTCGCCTTCTACGAAGCCCTCGCCTTCTACAAAGCCCGCGCCTTTTACAAAACCCGCGCCTACTACAAAACCTGCATCTTTTGCAAAACCCGCACCTGTTACAAAACCCGCAACTTCCACAAATCCCTCACAAACCATTTCAAGCAGTTCCAATAAGTTAGCAGAGAGCAAAAGTTCTGAGAAAACCCAGCAAGATAAAAGCAGTTCAAGTCCAGGCCATGCAGCAGCTCTCCGAATATCTGAGGCTCAGAGTAAGAATGTTAAACCTGAGCCAGCTAAAGGAGTTGCAGCCGGTTCAACAAACAGTACGTTAAACGTTCAGAAAGTAATTGGGCCCTTACCAAAGAAGGAGATGGACCCTGCCGAAACAAAGACTGTTGCTAAACCTGAACAAGCAGCTTCTAAATCTGGCCAGGGTCATTCTCTGTCAATGAACCCGCTGACTGGTCGGCTGGAGTATTCATCTGTGCAGGTTTCAAAACCTAAAGAAACAAGTAAAACACAACCCCTGGAAACAAATAAACCGAATCCCCCAGAAACCAAAAAAGTATCTGTTATGCATATCCAGAGTATAAGGCAGATAAAACCATTGCTTCCAACCCCAGTGGCTGAGGTGCCACCAAAGCCCTCTTATAATCCAACTTCCAAACTGAATCAAAAATTTAAAAGGGAACCATTGTCTCTGCCCACCTCTTTGTTTGGTCACCTATCAGACCCAGGCTATAAAGACATAAAAATCGCACCTATTGTAACTCAGAGACTGAGCACTGATCAGATGAAATCTACAGAAAGTCATCCCCCGCCCTATAGTGCTTCTGTCAGTAAACAAACAATGCAGCAAGAAATAGACTCGTACTACAAGCTAATAGCTGCTGAAGAGGACCCTGCAGATTTAATACCTTCTGAAGACGAAGATCCAGAGGAAGAGGTTGCAAGTGCTCCACACAAGGTGGAGATTCCAGAAAAGAAGATAAAACTAGAAAGTCCTGCACCGGCCATGCAGGCACCTGCTAATCCCACGGTGCCTGATGTGGCCAGTGAAGACAATGATGATTCTGATATGGCCTGTGAAGTCCCTGATGTTCCTGCGAGTAACTTTTCCATATCAGGATTGGGAATGGTACAGTCCAGTTACAGTTTTTCCCCAACCTACGGGGCCAAATCCAAGCAACCCTTCAACGTCTTGCGTGGAATGGTTTTAATGGATAAAGATTATACAAAGAAAACACCAACAAGCGCCCCTGCAACCAGTTATTCTATGGAAGAATTGGAGGCATTAACCACATGTGACTCTGATTAGACCTGTGTCCTGCATTCGGACGTTCCATTGCAGGTTCTGCTCCATCTGAAGGATTTACTAACACAGGATGTTTAAATTTTGTAAATATGAAGTGTCTGCCAGAGGTTTACCAGTTACATGATGACTCTGCTAGACTCATTTCTGTTTGTGAACTGGTTTATGTTGGCAATGTTTGTTTTTCTTGAGTAAAATGTGACTTTTTTTTTTTATTACGGTCCACAACTGTTCATCAGTTTGTATTTAATTTGACATTTCTTTAGTGTTCAAGAAAATTCTTTTTTGTTCAAGAAAATTATAATTTTTTTTTTTTAAGTAATTCTGTATGTATATTTTCTGATGAAGATCTGATCGTATAATATTCCATGGCAGAGTTTTGAAACTGTACTCCCTTTTCAGTTCCTCACACCAAGCTTAGATTTGCTATGCTTTTTAGCAGAGTCTGCTTGCGGAGGTCCAGGAGAACCGGCTTGTATCTCGTTTCTAATGTTGTAAATATTCCCTGTTGGATTACCTTTTATAGTCATGTCTCCATTAGTCTTCATGTTCTTTTAGCTCATATGTTTGCATGTTTCCATAATATCTCAGATGTTCCACTTTCTGGCTGGTTGAGGATAATGAAGGACGTCCTGCAATATCTGGTAAGGTTACAAATAAGTGGGCACTTTTATTTTGTTTTTCTTTCCCTCAGGACCTGTTGTTTGACTTGACTTATGTCCACAGATGACTGCAGAGTTGCGACAATAATATGCTCTCGCTTGCTACTACTGGTCCTTTCCTACAGCAAAAGGTGTCCCGTGGTTTTGAACCTTGTGTTTTCATCTTATATTACAAAATGTTACACAATGCATATTGAATCATGTGTTTCAATTAAAGGTGATCCATAACAATTCACTTTAATATTTTCTTTTGCTTGTATGATTATTTGAAGCAATTGGCTTTTTCCTTCCTGTATTTCACAGTGTGCAGCTAGAATATCAAGGTTTTGTTTCCTCTCTAGTTTCCTGTATAACTATGAATTTGTTGAATAACGACAGTATAGACCTGGAAAGGACTCACAAGTGCTTTTACTGTACCTAGATGCTTAAGAACACTCTCTTGTATTCCTCGTTTTGACAAATCTGACCGCGTTTTCTGCCCAACCAGTTGGGTTTGGATCTGCCATCTTTATTTTAGCTCCTCTGACCAGCTCTGCCAGATATGCTTGCTCTGGTCATGCATAGTCTCTATGAAGAACTGATTTACATAGTTAGTCTGGCTGAAAAAAGACAAAAGTCCATCCAGTTCAACCATTAAAAAAAAAAAATATAGTTCTAATCCTGTACCCACAGTTGATCCAGAGGAAGGCAAAAAAAATCCCCAGCAAAGCATGATCCAATTTGCTCCTGCAGGGAAAAATTCCTTCCTGATCCCCCGAGAGGCAATCGGATATTCCCTGGATCAACTTTACCTATACATGTTATATTCTGTGTATCTAAGAAACAATCCAGGACTTTTTTAAATCAATCAACTGAGCTGGCCAAAACCAACTCTTGAGGGAGTCTATTCCACATTTTCACAGCTCTCACTGTGAAGAAACCTTTCCATGTTTTTGAGATTAAATTTCTTTTTCTCCAGACGTAAAGAGTGCCCCCTTGTCCTCTGTGATGACCTCAGGGTGAATAACTCTACACCGAGTTCACTATATGAACCACTGATGTATTTATACATGGAGATCATATCCCCCCTTATGTATTATACATGGTGATCATATCCCCCTTATGTATTATACATGGAGATCATATCCCCCTTATGTATTCTACATGGAGATCATATCCCCCCTTATGTATTATACATGGAGATAATATCCCCCCTTAATCTCCTCTTAAGAGAATAAATTCAGTTCCTCTAATCTTTCCTCATAGCTGAGCTCCTCCATGCCTCGTATCAGTTTGGTTGCCCTTTTCTGTACTTTCTCCAGTTCCCCAATGTTCTTTTTGTGAATTGGTGCCCAAAACTGAACTGCATATTCCAGATGAGGTCTTACTAATGATTTGTACCGGGGGAAATATCTCTCTCTCTGGAGTCTATACCTCTTCTAATACAAGACAGGATTTTGCTCGCTTTAGAAACTGCAGCTTGGCATTGCATGCCATTATCAAGCTTGTAATCTACCAGAACCCCCAGATCCTTCTCCACCATTGATTCCCCCATTTGTACTCCCCCCCCCCCCCCCCCCCCCCCCCCCCCCCATATAACCAACCATCTGATATTTTCCAGATTCTGATGTGATATACAGGCAGTCACACAAACGGCTTATTTACTAAGGAGTAATCATCAGCAAAGCTTGTATTAATATATAGTATCTTTATCTCTCACCACTGACATCCTCCCCTACACTCTAAAATTTGCCCTGGTCACCTCCACACTCCAAAAGGCATTGCTAGCCCCCACCAGTCTGAACCACATAAGTCCTAATGCACACCGGACGTTTGGCTTCTGATGGTTTTTTCTACAGCCAGTAAACCCCCCAGCATGTTATCCTATGTGTCCACGCACACACAGACTGTAATCAATGTTTTTTGGCAGGGGAGTTTTTTTTGCTGGACAAAAAACCCAAAAATGCTCTAACGCGGTAAATCACGCCAAACCGGTGTTTTTTGGACTTTTTTTGACCAAAAAAAAAACATTTTTTGATATAAAAAAACTCTACAAAATGTGAAAAAACGCTGCTAAATACTAATGCAAAAACGTTAAAAAACACAGAAAAACTTGTGGCTTTGCACAGCTAACGTTACCAGTGTTATTAAAATGCACCATGTGCATGGAGCCTTAAGAATAAGTTCACCTTTGATAACATAGAAGAGCATCTGCCTACAATGAACTACAAGTACCATCTGCCATCGAGGCATTGCACTGGAGTGCTCTCATAGTGTATGAACTCCTCCTGGATTTTATCAACTGTCTGCCCGTATGAGAAGTACAGGACTGAGCATCTTAAGGATCCTGGCATTGCACCCTGCAAAAAGATGAGCATTTATTATTATTATTATTATTATTAGTAGTAGTAGTAGTAATAAAATACATAGTTTTTGTTTTTTTTTTACCAAAGGCTTTTAAGATCACTTTCCTTGCTCTTTACCTCCAACCCTCTAGAACACCTGGTCTACAATTGTCTGAGCTGCCACCGCACTACTAACATCCTTTTTGACCCCCTACAGTCTGGCTTTTATCCCTAACACTCCACTAAAACTCACTAATGGCTTACTACCTGCTAAAACCAATGTCCACAACTCAGTACTCTTACTATTAGACCTTTCTGTTGCTTTTGACATTTTTGACCACCCATGTGACGATTACGGTGTCAGACCCCTGACCTTCTCACCAAACTCGTGACCGAAGGACTAGCCAATCTAAAACCGCGATTTCACGTGCGTAACAATGCCCTGCCCAGCTGCACCCTGCACAACGATTTTCCAGCTAAATGGACCACAATCGAAATGGCAGCCTGAGCGCGATTGTTACTGGGTCAGGATAATTACGCAATTAACCCTTCACACTGCCACCACCTCCTTTTTGTACAGAGAGAGGACACTCTGCAATATCAGCAATACCACTAGGATGATTGGATAATCGTCTGTATACCACTGTCACCGCAGACAAGTTATACAGAGGGTTAAACACACATAGTAGCACTCTTCAGCGGCAGGAATTCATAAGTTGCATTAAAAAGCTTTAGAAACAGTTCAACACTTTCAGAAGTAAAGATTTTTTACTAAAAGGGTGCAATAAAAATATTTACAGAAAAAAGATGTAGCCAATATATATATATGTAAATATACAGAGAACAATAACACAGCAAAGAGATAACAGGAGTTTACAGGGTTAAAGTACTTGCCAGTTTAGCCTTGGTTTTAAGCAGCTTCAAGTGTCATAAGTCAAAAGGATTTCTTGTCTCTACTGCTAGTTTCGATGTTAAACGCAGGAGACGCTGCTTTCTCTCACACGCACCCCAACTCCAAGCTTAACAGCCTTTTTCTACCAAAAATCCCAGCAGGGTGTCTCTTTGGAGTAGTAACCAATGATCTCCTTTTGGGGAGGGGGTGTTGGGAGGAGACCTAAGTACAACCAGAATCTCTCATAGGTTACATTTTGGTTCATAACTTTTCCTAGGTACATTTGCCAGCTTGGGCACTAGTATATTAATACTCAGCCGCATCTGCGGAATGGTTAGAGATGAAATATGCACGTGAATGGTTCAAGAGATATACTTTTCTGCTTTTCTAGGTATGCCAGCTAAGGGTTGTCACATACCAGGAGAATATCCTCAAACTGAGCCTTCCGAATATAGGCTCCATGTTTAGGTAGTTATGTTCTACGAGAAGATAACTTATATGAAAAGTGAGTTTTTAAACGTAAGTCTGTTTTTTTTGTTACGACCCCTTGGAAGGTCTTTTGAAGTACAGTGAGGGACTTGGCTTGTACTTTTACGATGCGCCAGACACACCCTGTAACCCTTAACAGGCACAGGGTGCCTTAAACATAATGAGGGGGACATGAGCTGCACAGTTTCTTAGACAGCGTGGCACCCAGCTCGTGAGGTTTTATAGCTCGGAGCCCGCTGCTGTGCTTTGGCCGCCTGTGACACTTCCAACACACAGGCCACATGTCACTGTGGATGAACAGAGAGGGAGGGGGGATGATGGGACAACATGGATAATTCTTAACAAAATGGAGGGCTGCGTCCAGCTCTGTGTGCATGATTGCTACAACCCACACCTCCTCAAAACATTATTTCCTGGTTCTCTACTTAAGTGCTTCTGCATTGTCACAACTTTTTCCCCTTTTCCATTCTCTGTAGGGCTCCTCAAAGGACCTGTCTCTGAATTCCATCTATTTTTTTTATCTTCTCCTCCCTTGGTTAGTTGAAGAACTTCCAATACCATCTCTATGCTGCCATCACCCAAATCTGTCTCTCTACTCAGCCTTTTATTCTCCTCCCACATTACTAATTGGCATATTAG